ATGCTTCAAAAAAATTTAAGATGAAATTGGGTTTAAGTAATTTAATTCTTGTATTGATCAGGATCAAGTTTATGACTGTATCGATATTTAACGAAGCATTTCAAAGGAGGGAGGAGAAAGCGGAAAGCACCATGCTTTTTCAGTACCACTTTGTTGCTGACTTTCCCACCCTCTCCCTGTGAACCAGTATCTTTACAGCAAGTCCCATTTTAAAATTCTGCTGCGGAATTTGTTTCAGATGTCACCAGGCAATTAAATTACAAGTTACAACTTGAACCACAAAGTGTTTGATGCCACTTGGTATGTAATTATAATGGGAAGTGATGCACTGATTACCAGTGTCTGCTTTAACTGGGGATGGAGGCTATCTTCACCTTTTAACAGCATTTGGTGCTGGACATCACAGCTTCATGCGGACATACTGGCCTTGGAAAGGACATGGTGCAGATTTGTCAGAATAATTGAGCTTTTAAAAGAAGAGGTTTAACTAAGAGCGCAGGTTGCATAAGCAAACCAAAATTGGTGCCGCAGTGGACAGCGAAGAAGGTTACCTCAGAGTACAACGGGACCTTGATCAGATGGGCCAATGGGCCGAGGAGTGGCAGATGGAGTTTAATTTAGATAAATGTGGAAGGCAAATCAAGGCAGCACTTATGCACATTATGATAAGGTCCTGGGGAGTGTTGCTGAGCAAAGAGACCTCGGAGTGCAGGTTCATAGTTCCTTGAAAGTGCAGTCACAGGTAGAGAGGGTAATGAAAAAGGCGTTTGGTATGCTTATAACAGTGTGGAGCTGGAGGAGCGCAGCAGGCCAGGCAGCATCAGAGGAGCAGGAAAGCTGAAAATGAAGAAGGGTACCGACCCGAAACGTCAGCTTTCCTGCTCCTTTGATGATGCCTGGCCTGCTTTCTTCCTCCAGCTTCATACTGTGTTATATCTGATTCCAGCATCGGCAGTTCTTACTATCTCTGAGTTTGGTACACTTGCCTTTATTGGTCAGTGCAGTGAGTATCGGAGTTGGAAGGTCATGTTGTGGCTGTACAGGACATTGGTTGGGCCACTTTTGGAATACTGCATGCAATTCTAGTCTCCCTGCTACAGGGGTGATGTTGTAAAACTTGGAAGGGTTCAGAAAAGATTTGCAAGGATGTTGCTAGAGTTGGAGGGTTTGAGCTGTAGGGCGAGTCTGAATAGGCTGGGGCTATTTTCCCTGGAGCATTGGAGGCTGCAGGGGTGACTTTATAGAGATTTATAAAATCATGAGGGGCATGGATAGGGTGAATAGTCAAGATATTTTCCCCAGGGTAGGGGATTCCAAAACTAGAGGGCATAGGTTTAAGGTGAGAGGAGAAAGATTTAAAAGGGACCTAAGGGGCAACTTTTTCATGCAGAGGGTGACGTGTGTATGGAATGAACTGCCAAAGGAAGTGGTGGAGGCTGGTACAATTACAGCATTTGAAAGGCACCTGGATGGGTACATGAATAGGAAGGGTTTAGAGGGATATGGGCCAAATGCTGGCAAATGGGACGAGATTAATTTAGGATATCTAGGTCAGCATGGGCAAGTTGGATTGAAGGGTCTGTTTCCATGCTGTACAACTCTGTGACTCTGGGACCCTGTGACTCCATGACAATTGAGGGGGCAGGAGGCCAAAGTTCACCGAACCTTCTGGCTACAGTCCTGCCTTCTGTCAGCTTCGACCGACTTCTGAGGTGCTGAGTACCATTGCTGTGAGCTGCAACATAGAAACATTTTGGGACTGCCCTATGTTATACCATCACATCCCAACATGTAACCAATAAAGTCCGCATCAGGCAACCTTGAACTGCTGAGGTAAAATGGCAAAGAATAGGAGTGCAATGGATAGTACCTAATTTCCAATTGAACCCTCCTTCTGCCCTATTCTCACCAAGCATGTAGGACTGCCAACATAAAATAGAATTACCTTGCACAGAAGGCATCTATTCAGCCCATCATGCTTGTGCCAGCTCTTTGAAAGAGCCATCCAATTAAATGACTCTGCTCTTTCCCTAGAGCCCCGGGAAAAAGAAAATCAAACATTTAGCAAATTCCGTTTTCAAAGTTAATGAATTAGCTTCCAACACTCTTATGTGCAGTGCATTCCGGGTAATAACAGCTCACTGTGTAAAAGGAATTAGATGCAATCTTGTTTCCCTTTCTCACTAACGTGCAATCAGACTCTTTGATTAGATTCCAGCCTGGAACTCAGCCCTGGGTTTAGATTGTTCTATATACATAGCACCACTCTACAAGCCTCTGCATTAGACTCCAGTCTGGAACTCAGTCCTGGGTATCTGTCATTCTATTTTCTGCAATTGAAATAAATTTCCTGCCTCAGTTTTTGAAGTGCTCTCTGTTCTCGCTCTTGGATGTGAAAATGCTGACTCTGGCTTTCCTCAAAGGAAAGCTCCTTCTGGCAGGTTCAGCACTCACCATAATAGGGCCGTTTAGAAAGCTGGCTTTCTTCAAATAAAAACTCAAAGTCTTAATCCATTCACAGTGTACATCTTGCATTTCAAAGCAAGGTAACGTCCTGTTGTACCTGCAGCTGGGATGAATCTGTGTTCAATTACTGTGATATTTCACTGCTGTCCCCTGAAGCATGGACCCATAGAATCAGGAGCACTCCACCTGCTCAGAATTAATCATGACTGTAACCCATTCACTGTTAGCATCAATAAGAGGCAGTGATGTTGAAGCTCTGAGTCCCCACTGTACGGCAGCAGGAAGATTTAATATTTTTGTTATGTTTTAGTTTGCCTGTTGAATAATGGGCGGGATTTTGGAACTGTGCTCTCGATGTAGTGCTGGCTGCTGGTTAGAGTCTTGTGCACGCACTGTCCTGTTATTTCACAAGTCTCTGTCGGAATCAGATCTCTGAGTGGGTTGTGCAATATGTTACTGAGTATTACAGGTTTCTGGTCTCTGCTGTGTTAGCTGACTTAAGGGAACAGTAGAGTTATGTTGAATGGTTTAGTTGAGTTAAATGAGGACTCAATGAGGATTGTGAACTTAAAATAATTGACCAAAAAAACAGAGATGACAGGAGATAGTAGGAACTGCAGATGCTGGAGAATCTGAGATAACAAGGTGTAGAGCTGGATGAACACAGCAGGCCAAGCAGCATCAGAGGAGCAGGAAGGCTGATGTTTCAGGCCTGGACCCTTCTTCAGAAAAAAAAAAGACAGGAGACCAAGCTCTTGTGTTTCACGCAAGGGTTTGGAATGTGCTACCTGATGGTGATCAAGTCAATTCAATAATACCTTTCAAAGAAAGTGGGAAAATATTAGAGGGGAAAAAGAATCCAGGAATGTGAGGAAGGGCTGAAAGTTGGAAAAGTTTTTATAAAAGCTATAGTAAAGACTTAGTGGGCCAAATAGCCTCTGTCTGTGTTGTACTTTCTATGCTCGCTCTAGAATGATCACTCAGGGTTCCTGCTTCTGGGCACTATTAGGTGGCCCTGTTTAGACAATTTGCGTGTGAAGAGGGCACAAGGATAACGTTCACTTGAACTTAATCACACAGGATGTGTGGCCTGAAACTCTGCTGTTGAGATTCACGCTCAAAAAGATGTTCAATCCTGTGAACAATTGAAGCGTAGTCAGTGCCCATGAATTCATACTCTTCCCTCCCTATCTCTGTCCTCCAGCTCTAGGATCCTCTCAAGGGCTCTGCACTCCCAATTCTGGCCTCTTGTCCATCTCCATTCCGTTTGACCCACCGCTGGTGGCCATGTCTTTAGTTGCCTTCAGCATTGAAATTCCCTGTAAACATCAGCATCTCCCTCTCCTTCTCTAAGGCACTCTTTAACACTCAGCACTATGACCAACCTTTTGGTCATCTTTATGACAAATGATGTGTGATTTTATATATAGTGTGTGTATATTTATATATATAAAATATTTTCAGAGTTTGAATTTCAAACTAGTGGGGGTTAGTTACTTTTCTGAGGTGAAACCATAAGACTACGGGGAGTTCTTTCTGGAACCCTGATGTAATCTAGCATGTGTCAGAGAGCAGGGAACCCTGGTGTATTAATGGATGTTTGTTTGTGTTGCACAAATTTATGAGTGGGAGAGGAAAATTGAGGACCATTAGCTTGATTTTGGTTTAGGATAATCAAGGATTGATTTAGCTTCAGAAACTCAGAGGGTGGAAGTTTTTAAACAGTTTAGAGGACTGTGCCTGGGGTCAGAAACATAATATAATTTCACTGCTAGAAAGGAATATAGAACAGTTCAGGGAATAAGTTATCTTAGTATAATGTTCATTTGAGTAAGAGCAAGAGTATTTGGTTAGAAATCTGCAGATGATTAAAAGCTGAGTAAGTCTAAGCTTTTCAGTTTGCGAATATTGTGAAGAAGACTTCACCGTTTACAAGAAAGAATCAGTTTAAAAAATTAAATTGAGTCAGTTCAATTGAACATGAAGATCTAAGGTACTGGGCTAATCTGTCTGGATTTGAATTTCTGTAAAGAGATCGTGTTGGGAAGTAGAGTGAAGTCTTTGTTTTGCTGTGTATCTCAAGATCTTTTGGAACTGTGTTTTACATTTAAATATCTTGCTTTGTTTTATTACTGTTATTCATTTTATGTGATAAACTTCTGTTTTTTTAAAGTCTGCAGCCTCTTGTTTATGTTTCAGTGGATGAACTCCACATTAAATAAGACAAAAAATTATCTATCAAGCCAGATTTCACTCTGGGACCTGACATCTCCAGTAGTAATGCCACCTGTGATTATAATACCTTCCTAATATTTTGAACACCTTGCTGAACACCTTCCTAATATTTTGGCTTGTTAACTACCTTTGTCTCCTGTCGCTTCTCCAAGAAACTTCTGAAACATTTCATTATCATAAAGGAACTATATAAATGCAAGTTGTTGTTGAGCGAGCTCAGCTAGCTGAACAAACACTGGCCACCTTTTAGACTGTGAGTAAATGTACTGAACAGGTGTTTTTATTCTCTCTCCTCACAGGCGTTGATCCTCAGAAAGGTGAACTGGACTTGAATGGCATCGATGACAATGAAATCGATAGGGTAAGATCATTCTGTAACCCTTATGACAGGTAATGTGAGATTGTAGATTATCTTGTGTTTAAAAAACAAAGGTAAAATGAGCAACTCTCTCACCATCTGCACCAGCTAGTTGTCAGAGAATCTGGTTTCAGCACCGTAATCACATTTTATGGTTTCTCTTCTCTTTTTGTAAGCCTTCATTTGGGATAAGTAACTTTGTATAATGGCTTATTGTTACTCATCCAGAGTATCATATAGTGTTAGGATTGTACAATGTACTCAGAATGATAGTTTTTTATCTCACAGCTGGAGTCTGGTCCAGAAGGGCAAATGAGGAGTAAATTGCACTCTGTGTTTCTCTCTCTTTCTTTCTCTGTCTCTCGCTCTCTCTCGCTCTCGCTCTCGCTCTCTCTAGAACATACTCCTTCTCTATTCTGCACGTACTGTGTACCTGCCTATCCTCTGATGTAGCTGCATTGCAAGTTTGATGGTGACACCAGATAAGATTAAAGTTTAGTTTCCTAGCACTGACATCTCTCACCTGAGGAACATTGTGTAGAATAATTCACTTTTTTGGTTTACATCTTTGTGTTGTCATTGAAAAGAGTTAGATTTTGTTCGCACGGCCTTCAGCAATGGTACAGTGGCTCACAGCAGACTTAGCTATTGTGACTTCCCTTTCGGTGAGATGGCAGTTCCGATGAGCAGGGACAGAAAAAAATGTCAGCAGGAGAGACTTGGTACCACTTACTGTTGGCGTTTGGCCAATCTGACTGTCCTAAAGTACATCACTCCCGTACTGATCAGTTTTAAATTCCTACCCTAATTTGCACATCATTCCATGGCCTCACCTCTCCCCATGCCTGGAATCTCATCCAGCCTTATGACCTTCCCAGAGTCTTATCTACCTACTTACACCAGAGAATCACCTACAGTGTGATCTCTTGTCTGACTTCTGGACTGTTGCCTCTGGTGTCTCCCGTTGGTGTGTCCGAGGTTCCCTCAAAACACATTGCATCATCTGAAAATATTGTTTTCCACCTGTTCACTTACAAAACTTAGTTCTATCTCATCATCCCGTTGTGTTACTAAGAACACTTGTCCAACATCCAGTACTGGCTGGGCAGAAATTTCCTCTCCTTAATTCTTGTGAAGATTGATTGATGGACTTGTTGTCATGTGTATGGAAATACAGTGAAAAGCTTTATTTATGAGCGGTACAGGCAGATCGTAGTAAGCAAAGGATGTACAGATCAAAAAGCCTTAGAGGCATACTGGTTACATTGTAGGTTAGATTATTTGAGGCTAGAGTCCATTCAACAGTCTGATAATGGCTGGAAAGGAGCTGTCCCTGAACATGCTGTGTGTCTGTTCAGGCTTCTGTATCTTCTGCCTGATGGAAGAGGCTGTAGGAGATCATTACCGGGGTGTGATGGGTCTTTGATGATGTTGGCTGCCTTTCCACAGCAGCGAGCCGTGTAAATGGAATCTATGGATGGAAGGTTGGCTTCCGTGGTGTAGCTGCATTGCAAGTTTGATGGTGACACCAGATAAGATTAAAGTTTAATTTCCTAGCACTGACATCTCTCACCTGAGGAACATTTTGTAGAATAATTCACTTTTTTGGTTTATAGCTTTGTGTTGTTATTGAAAAGAGTTGGATTTTGATAGCATGGCCTTCAGCAATGGCACAGTGGCTCATGGCAGACTTAGCTATTGTGACTTCCCTTTCGGTGAGATGGCAGTTCTGATGAGCTGATGGTGGTGTAGTAGTAAATGTCATGTAAATGTAGTAGGGAAAGTGCCATGAGACTTGTTGCCCTTGTGCACCAGTTGCTGAAGGTAAGCATTGCAGGTGCAGCAGGCAGTAAAGAAGGTAAATGGTATGTGGCCTTCATTGTGAGAGGTTGCGAGTACAGGAGCAGGGATGTGTTGTTGCATTGTACAGGGCCTTGGTGAGACCACACCTGGAATATTGTGTGCAGTTTTGGTCTCCTTATCTGAGGAAGGATGTTCTTGCTCTCGAGGGAGTGCAGTGAAGGTTTACCAGGCTGATTCCGGGGATGGCAGGACTAATGTATGATGAGAGATCGGATCAGTTAGGGCTATATTTATTGGAATCTAGAAGAATAATAGGGGATCGCATAGAAATCAGTAAAATTCTAGACAGGGTAAATGCAGGAAGGATGTTCCCAATGACCAGGAAGACCAGAACCAGGTCTAAGGAAATGGGGTCTAACTCAATCACCTCCTTGAATCCTACAACCTTCAGATTCCTATGCTCCTGTGCAGCCCAGATTTTAACAGCTCTGTTATTAGTGACTGTGCCAGAGAAGGTTTTCTAGTCTAATACCTGGAATGGACAGGTTTTCTGACAAGGAAAGGGTGGACAGGCTATGCTTATATCAGCTGGAAAAAAATGAGACTTGATTAAAACATATAATCTTGGGGGAGTCTCGACAGGGTAGATGAAGAGAGGATGTTTCATCTTATGGGAGAATCTAGAATGGGAAGTCTTGGTTTAAAAGTCAAGGGTTAGCCATTTCAAAAAGATGAGGCAAAACCTATTTTTTTGAGTTTAGAGAGATTTTGGAATTCTCTTTCTAAACAGGTGATTGCCTTTGGGGCAGAGGTAGATAATTCTTGTTAAGCAAATGGGGTGAAATGTTATCGGGGGGGAGAGGGAATGTGTGGAGTTGAGGTTACAGTCAGATCAACCATGACTTAACTGAATGGTGGAGCAGTCTCAAGGGGCTGAATGGCCTACTCCTGTATGTTCAGCTGCTCCAGCCCTAAGCTGTGGAATTTCTGTCTGAACCTCTCTCAACCTCTCACATCTCCTTTGTTACATTCTTCAAAATCCTACCTTTTTGGCCCAAGCTTTCGGTTATCTGCCCCAATAAATGCTTGTAATACTGTGAAATTTTGTTTGATAATGTTCTTATGAAATGTCTTAAGATGTTTCACTGCATTAAAGGAACTCTATAAGTAAAAGTTGTGGAAGGGATTTAATATGTCTTTGTGACTGAATTGCACAGAATGCTGACGTGTCTTCATTTATCTGTCAGAAAGCGGTGTACTGCAGTTCTTTCGCATTAGCCATCCTGAAGCTTCAGCAGCTCCTTGTGCAGGTGACCTTCAGCTATGATTATAACATGTCTTTTTTTAATGCAGTATCTGCTCAACGAGAAGGAGGTGGAAATGAAAACTGAGCTGTGGTTGAGAGAGAACGCAGATTACCTGAAAGAGCAAAAGGGTGAGTGCATGTGAGAAAGATGGGAAAGGACTGGAAAAGGCAAAGAAGTTGGAGAGCCAGGACTCTAGCAAATATATTTCTAAGGACGAGGGTAGAACAGAGCAGGGAGATCTGTAACATGCTCCTGTTTCACATCAAACCGTGCAATCTGGAATCAGTGGGATTAAATCAAGCTCAATCCCAAATTCAATTCCAGATGCTCTTTTTTGTGGAAATAAAAGCAGGAAGTGCTATAGGTTAGTGAATGCCAATAAACAGGAGAGGCTGGCAAACCCAGTGTGCGGGTACACGTCAGTGGAACCTTCATCCAGAATGTTCCCACATGCTGACAATTTGCTTATCTCCAGCATTTTCTGCTTCACTAAGTAGTTTCAGCAGGTGGTTTCCTTCTCCACCGTAAAGCCACATCACCTGCAGTGCTTTGTGATTTTTATTAATTTATTGGGCTAGATACCATCTGCACAGTTAAGAGTATGGAATAAGTAATGAGCTGTGTGTGGGTACTCAGGATCTGACAGCTGAACAGTGCTGTGTGCATCCTACAGGGAGCGGTTACACTTATTCACAATGTTGCAATTTAAATGAGCTTGGTCATTTAACCTATGCACAGGGGAAAAATAAACAGAAATCCCATTCCGCCAATTGTTAAATTATCCCAGAGTTTTTGTCCTGAATATTTAGTACACTTGGAGATCCGTTACCATTGCAACAGCACTTCAGAATAGTACTTAAATCTGTAAACCAGCTTATGTCATGAGGACAGGTAAGGCACCAGTGAGGTAATGGTTGTCATCATCACAAAATGATAGACACATCAGACTGAACACAAGATCAGCCAAGTACCTGTATTTCTGATTTGAGTGGCCATTTGTCATCTGTTTGGAATCAGTTTGCCTATAGTATGCATTACAGTGGCTCAGTGGTTAGCACTACTACCTTACAGCGCCAAGGACACGGGTTTGATTCCAGCCTCGGGTAACTGTTCGTGTGGTGCTTGCACATTCTCCCTGAGTTTGTGTGGGTTTCCATTGGGCGCTCCAGTTTTCTCCAACCGCCCAAAGATGTGCAGGTCAGGTGGATTGGCCATGGGAAATGCAGGGTTACAGGAATAGGGTAGTCGGGTGTGCATCTGGGTAGGATGCTCTTAGAAGTGTCCATGTGGATTTGATGGACCAAATAGCCAGCTTTCACACTGGACGGATTCTATCACAATCGAACGTGGACCCAGCACCCAAATGCACTTTGTTAACTAGGGGCCTATGCTGCAATGAGCCAGAGCTCATCCCTCCCAGCCCAGATTGACTGCATTTTTCTGCAGTATCCCTAATGCTGCGCTAGCCGTGGTGTCAGCCAACTCAGTCACAAATCAGAGATGGAACTCGGCACATTTGATCCAAAAGCAGAATGCTGGGCTGTTGGAATTTGGGAATTGAAAAGACAAAAAGATGGATATATTCAGCAGGTAGCATCTGTGCAGCAATAAACAGAATTAACGTTTCAGACTCTTTCATCAGATCTGTCATGGGTGAGCCAACTAACTAAATCATTCGGGAGTTCACTCCTATCGCCTGAAAATAATATTAATATTTTCTTTGCAGAAAAGGAAGAACGGATAGCCAAAGAGAAAGAGCTTGGGATTTATAAAGAGCAGAAGGTAATACATATTGAAGTGATTTTGCCAATTGAAATCCGGAAACGATAATTCTTTGGAATTGCAAACATTTGCATCTATATGTTCCACTCCTTCATCAGTAAATTTTGCTGATTCCATATTTCCATGTGCCCTATAGGCTCTTTCAGTGAATGTTATTTGTTGACAGACAATAATGTTGATATTATCAGCCCAACAGTCACTTAACAACTGCAAAAGCTTTTTTTTAAGTGTGTGCCTGTTCCTTTTCTCTCAGACTCCCTCTTTGTTGCTCTTGCTCTCAGTCTAGCGTTTTCTTTGCATCCAGTGCAGTCTCCCTGGCGCCTGTCATTCTTTCTGTCAGATTCTCTTTCTCTTTCTCTTTCTTTTAAGGCTACAGGTAAGAAAACACAAGGGGATGAAGACACCAGCGGGAACAGTCTATAAGCCCTCTAACAATAGCTGTATGGTGGGACAGAGAATAAATCAGGAAGTAGTGAGGGAATGTCAAAAAGGCACTGCATTCATCATGGTTGACTTTAATCTTCTTGCAGATTGGATAGTCAGATTGGCAGAGTTAAACATAGCGCTGAATTCATAGAATGTATTGGAACAATTTCTAGAACAATATGTTGTGGATCCAACCAGGGATCAGGCTGTTTTGGATCTGCTAAATTAGAGGCAGGTTTGAAAAATAATCTCAGCATAAAAGATCCCCTAGGAAACAGTGACCATAACATGGAGGTAGAATTTAACATTCAGTTTGTGGGCAGAATTACTGTGCAAAACTTTAAATAAACGTAATTACAAAATAATGAAGTCAGAATGGCTGGAATGGACTAGGAAAGGAGTTTAACTGAAAATATGACTGAGGAACAATGCCAGACATTGAAGCAAATAGCTTATGATTCACCGCGATGATATATCCCAAAGAGGAAGAAGGATTCTAGAAAGGAAATAAATCAACAATGATTAACTCAGGAAGTTAAGGATAGCATCAAATTGAAAGAAAAATAACATAGAATGTGGCAAAGATTAGTAGCAAACCATAGGATTAGGAATTTTTTCAATATTAACAAAACGTGACCAAAAAAAGGAAGAGAAAGTAAATTTTGAGTATTAACTAGCAAGTCATATCAAAACTGTCAGTAAGAGCTCCTTTAAATATATAAAGAGGAAAAAAGAGGTCAAAGTTAGTATTGTCCCTTAGAGAACAAGGCTGGGAAAATAATAATGGGGAACCATGAAATGACAGAAAAGCATTGAATAAATATTTTGCATCAGTCTTCACAATAGAATACACTAATAGCAATCTCAAAAATTAACAATCAAGGGGTAGAAATGGAGTAGAAGTACATACAATAACTATCACTAGCAAAAAAGTCCTCGGGAAACCAATGGGGCCAATAAATCCCTGGGCCTGATGGATTGCATCTCAGGATGTAGAATCATAGAATAATACAGCATGGAAACAGGCCCTTCGGCCCAAACCATGGTGCTCATTCAGCTAGTTCCAACTGCCCACATTTGGTCCATATCCCTCTAAACCCTTCCCATCCATGTACCTATCCAAATGTTTTTAAATGTTGCTATTGTACCTGCCTCAACCACTTTCTCTAGCAGCCCATTCCATATACACACCACTCTCTTCTAGAAGTTGCCCCTCAGGTTCTTCTTAAATCTTTCCCCTCTCACTTTAAACCTGTGCCATCTAGTTTTCAATTCCCATCTCTGGGAAAATGCATTCATCCTATCTATACCCCACATGATTTTATACACCTCAATAAGGTCACCCCTCATTATCCTACGTTGCAAGGAATAAAGTCCCATCCTAGAACAAAGAATAAAGAAAATTACAGCACAAGAACAGGCCCTTCGGTCCCCCAAGCCTGCACCGACATGCTGCCTGTCACAACTAAAACCCCATACATTTCCGGAGACCATATCCCTCTATTCCTATTCTGTTCACGTATCTGTCAGACGCCCTTTAAAAGTCACTATCGTATCTGCTTCCACTACCTCCCCCGGCAGCGAGTTCCAGGCACCCACCACCCTCTGTGTAAAAACTTGCCTCGTACATCACCTTTAAACCTTGCCCCTCGCACCTTAAACCTATGGCCCCTGGTAACTGACTCTTCCACCCTGGGGAAAAGCTTCTGACTGTCCACTCTGTCCATGCCCTTCATAATGTTGTGGACTTCTATCAGGTTGCCCCTCAACCTCTGTCATTCCAGTGAGAACAACCCAAGTTTCTCCAGCCTCTCCTCATAGCTAATGCCCTCCATACCAGGCAACATCCTGGTAAATATTTTCTGTACCCTCTCCAAAGCCACCACATCCTCCTGGTAGTGTGGCGACCAGAATTGAACACAATATTCCAAATGTGACCTAACTAAGGTTCTATAAAGCTGCAACATTACTTGTCAATTTTTAGCCAACCTCTCCCTATAACTCAGGCCTACTTGTCCTGGCAGCATCCTCGTAAATCTTCTTTGCACACTTTCCAGTTTAACTATGTCTTTCCTATGATACGGTGACCAAAACTGTACACAATACTCCAAATGCTGCCTCACCAACGATTTATACAACTGTAATATAACGTTCTGAGGAAGGGTGCCTGGACCTGAAACATTAACTCTGATTTTTTCTTCACAGATGCTGCCAGACCTACTGAGCTTTTCCAGCAACTTCTGTTTTGTTCCTGATTTACAGCATCTGCAGTTATTTCGGTTTTTATGTAACATAACGTCCCAACTCCTATACTCACTGCCTGGACCAAAGAAGGCCAGCAAGCACTACCCTGTCCACCTGTGACGCTGCTATCAACAAACTATGTACTTGTACTCCTAGGCCCCTCTGTTCCACAGCACTCCTCAGGACCTTACCATCTACTATATAAGCCATACCTTGGCTTGACTTTTATTTATATTTATATTTAAGGAAGTAGCTACAGAGATAGTGGGTGCACTGGAAATCTTAGCTTCTGGACAAGTGCTGAGGATTGCCAAACCACCCTTATTCAAACATGGAAGGGGACAAAAAAATACAGACCGCTATAAGCAGTTAGTTTAACATTTATCATTTAGAAAATGTTCAAGTCTTTGAAAAATGATGTAATAACAGCACATGTAGAAATACATAATATGATCAAGGCAGAGTCAGCATGGCTTCATGAAGGGGAAGTCACATCTAACACTTTTAGTATAACTCTTTAAGGAGGTACTAGGCAGAATAGATGAAGGAGAACCAATAGGTGTAATGTATTTAGACTTAAAAAAGGCATTTGATAAGGTACCTTATGTTATGTTTCTTACTAAGATAAGATTCCATGGTGTTGGGGTGGTATATTAGAATGGATAATTGACTGACTAATAGAAAGCAGAGTTGGGAAGAGGGGCACATTTTCAGAATGGCAGCCTGTAACTAGTGGAGTGCCACAGACATCAGTGTTGGGGTTACAGTTATTTACAATATATATATTAACGACTTGGATGAGGAAAGTGAATGTACTGTTGTTAGGTTTGGGGATAACCTAAAAATAGATGGGTGATGACAAAAAGAGTCTACAGAGGGCTAAAGTTAGGTGGAACGATTGGGCAAAAACTTGGCAGGCAAACTATAATATGGAAAAATGTAAGGTTATTGCATTTTGAGAAAAAATAGAGAGGCTGAATATTGAGTGGAGAAAGATTGCAAGAAGGGATTTGGGAGTTAGAATTGTAGAATCGCTGCAGTGTAGAAAGAGGCCATTCAGTCAATCGAGTCTGCATTGGGCCCCTGAAGAGCATCCCACCCAGATCCAACCCCCATCCCATTTCCATAACCCCACATGGGATTTTTACCATGGCTAACCCACTTAACCTGCACATCCCTGGACACTATGGATATTTTTTTAAGCATGATCAATCCACCTGACCTGCACATCTTAGGGCTGTGGGAGGAAACCGGAAAACCTGGAGAAACCACCTCTGACACGAAGAGAACATGCAAACTCCCCATTGACAGTCACACAAGGCTGGAATTGAACCCAGATCCCCGGTGCTGTGAGGCAGAAAAGTAGGGAGGACTTGCTAAAACTGTACAAGGCACTAGCAAGACCACAGCTGGAGTACTGTGAACAGTTCTGGTCCCGTAAGGGAAGATATACTGACATTGTCCAAAGAAGATTCATTAGGTAGATTCCAGGTGTAGAGTGGTTTTTCTTTTTGAGGAAAGGTTGTGTAGTTTATACTGTACTCATTGGATTTTAGAACAATAAGGGGTGCCCTTATTAAAAAAGGTCAGAAATCACACAACAGCAGATTATAGTTTGTGTTTTCAAATAAACCTGTTGGAATATAATCTGGCATTGTGTGATTTCTGACTTTGTCCACTCCATTCCAACACCAGCACCTCTACATCGTGGATACCTTATTGAAACATACAGATTCTTAGGAAATTTGATTGTAGATGTGGAGAGGTTGTTTCCCCTTGTTGGAGAGGCTAGGAGAAGAGGGCATCATCTCAGAATAAGGGTTATCACATTTCAGACCAAGATGAGGAGGAATTTCTTCACTCAGAAGGGAGTGAATCTGTGGTATTCTTCGCTGCAGAGGGCTGTAGAGGCTGGGTCATTAAGGATATTTGGGGATGAGATGGACGGACTTTTAATCAGTTAGTAAATCTAGGAGTATGGGAATAATGCAGGAAAGGGGAGGTGACAATTACCAGATCAGCCATAATCTCATTGAACGGCAGAGCACTCTCGACAGATGCATAAATCTGAAACAAAAATCCCCAGGGTCATTGGACCCAAAATGTTACCTGTGCCTTCTCTCCACAGATGCTGCCAGACGTGCTGAGTTTCTCCGGCAATTCCTGTTTTTGTTCTCTTTATTCTCACCCTGTTTTGAAATTGCTCTTGCCTAGTCTTCCTTAGATCCTCTGGGATCCTGAAAACTTCTCTCACTATCTCATCTCCTCCATCCCCACAGCCCTCCGAAATGTCTGTGCTCCTGTGATTCTGGCCTTTTCATCATCCTTGGTATTAATTGTTGACTATAATTTCAGTTCTTTAGTTTTTCTTTCTAAATCTTTCTATCTTACTACACCCGACTTAGAAATGCTGTTTAACACTCATCTAGTTGATTGAGTCTCTTCAAATCTGATCTAAGGTATGTTTAGGTGACTCAGTAGCACGTTTTGTTTTATTTCCCTCTTGGAATGTTTTATTGCGTTTCAGACACAATATATATGCAGAGCGTGCTGCTGTTGGTTGCCTGCATGACAAACCCTTACCTTTGACTCACTTGGACCAGGGACTTAACGTCAACAAATCTCCGCTTTTTTCCAAAGCCGAGAAAATCGTCTAAGAAACGTGAGCCAATCCGAGCCAGCACAGCAGGGGAAGCCATAGAGAAGATGCTGGAACAGAAGAAGATCTCGAGCAAGATAAATTACGACGTGCTGAGGGATCTGAACAGCAAGGGGAGCAGCACACCAACCCAGGAGGAAAGTGAGAGCAGTAACCGTGGCGGCAGTAATAGCCGCAGTAAGAAGGGGCCAGCCCACCGAAAGTCAGCTGCAAACTCCCGAAGCCTCGCTACACCCGTCAACAACCTAGGCAAGAGGTACAGTTACTGTCTCATGCAGAGTAGTGTGGATACTTGGCTTCATCCAGTGTTAAATGTTTCATTACAGTAAACACTAATGTATTTCGGCTTACATTAGGTAGATGGGAACTGGGCTTTTTGATGCCTTGGTCAATAGACATACTGCATTTTCCTGATGTTTATGTTTATGGGGAAGAGAGGGATGGAATGTGACACATTGGATAGCTCTTTCAGAGAGATGATACATACAGAATGGGCTGTGTAGTCTTCTGTGCCGAATGATTCTATAATAACGTTACATTACACCTAACCATGCACACAAGGAAGGAGTCTGCTTCATTATGCAGAGATAACACAGTGTAGAGCTGGAGGAACACAGCAGGCCAGGCAGCATCAGAGGAGCAGGAAAGTTGACATGTTGGGTCAGGACCCTTCTGACTCCAGCATAGGCAGTCCTTACTATCTCTGCTTCAATATGCAGTTTTGAGCAGTTAGTTCATATAAGCTAACAAGGTGATGTCGGCATTTGGGAGTCCTGGTGCTGAGGTAGAATAAACAAAATCAGGTCAGTGTCACCACTTATCATTGCGTATGTTCTGGTGGAAAACAAAATCTGATTCCAGGAGAATAGTTGATAACTAACTGAAATGTTTGGAAGTTAGTGGCACTGAAGGCGAGGAAGGGAATGGGGTTCAGATCAAATCTGTGATGCAACAGCAGTAGGGACCAAGTAAGAGTGATTTCAACATGAGGTTGGCATGATTGTCTCTCCTATAGGAGATGGTGAAGTTCCCGCTAAGGAGAAAAATAGTCCAACAATCTGGTGGAAAGAAGAACCTGATACTGACTCTAAAGTTAAACTCACCCCAGGTCTGGAATAGGCAGAGTGGTAGCCGGATGTTATGAGCTGGATGAAGGCAGACGCGTCAGCCAGTAGTCCTTCTGATTAATCCTTCCTCCAAGAGGACCCCCGAGGTCAGTGCGTGGCAACACCTTCTGAAAACTGAAAGTCAGTGCTGAGAATGGCATTGACACGCTGATCAGCTTAGAGAGAGCGTTTGTGTCAACCATCATGTGAGATTAGAGCTCCTTCTCCCATCCACAAACTAATGGGTTCCCAGTGTTAGAATCAGGCAACTTGTTTCAGTTAGCCCAGAAATGTGAAACAATTAAAGCCAAGCCTAACTCCTAACTCATTACATAAATGACACACTCACACTGACATCCTCACCCCCACCCCGACCCATCTGACCACCCTCCAAGAATGACTACATCCTACCCCTGCCACCTCACTCACCTCCCCACCCTGTCACTCTACCTATTTGCTAGCAATCATCTGCTCCCCTGTTGACTTTCTTTTTCCCCTTTATTCATTCATGGGATGAGGGCGTCGCTGGCCAGGCAGCATTTATTGCCCATCCCTAATTGCCCAGAGGGCAGTTAAGAGTCAATCACATTGTTGTGGGTCTGGGGTCACATATAGGCCAGTTTCCTTTCCTAAGGGACATTAGTAAACCAGATGAGTTTTCCCGACAATCGGCAATGGATTCATGGTCATCATTAGATTCTTAATTCCAGATATTTATTGAATTTAAATTCCACCATCTGCCATGGCGGGATTCAAACCCAGGCCCCCGGGATATTACCTGGGTCTCTGGATTAACAGTCCTGTGATAATACCACTAGGCCATTGCCTCCCCACTAGACTGACATCTAAACTGCAAGTACCAGCTCATGCCATTAAATGGGCATGTTCAATCTTTGGCTATAACTCTCTAGGGATACTTAGGGCACCAGCACACACCATATTTATAATTAAGCTAGGCTCAGAAGGCCCCAGATTGCAGAGCAATGTGGGAGTGTTCAAAGGGAGAAGCAACACGACAGCTATTGTATTCCTTAGAGTACTTAGGACGCTGATACACAGTTTGAATTTTTTCTGGTTGTTTTTAATTAACTCTTTGTATGTAACTGACTGGTTCCTCATTTGTTTTTTTTCCAAGGTGACATAGCAAGCTGGCAATCTGTCTGAGTTGGTAGATTTGAAACTTTGCATAGATTGTTTAAAAATTGTAATCCTTGAACAAAACTGAGCTTCAGTGGAAGAGAAATTGTAGCTGCAGGGGTGGTTGAATATTTTAAAGGCGGAGATAGTAGTTGTTAGACAACAGAATCCAATGTTATCATGGATTGATGGGAATATGGAAATTGGAACATAAACAGATCAGCCAAAATCTTATTGAATAGTAGAGCAGGTTCGAAAGGCTGACTGGCCTACTTCTGCATCTATTCCCTGTGGTTGTATGAAGTATCCTCCTGTGGCCATCAGAATACAGAACCTTGTTCAATCCCCTGCCCTGATTAAGTGACAAAGAGATTCATGTTCATGTCTTGACTGTAAAGGCTCCCTGCAATGGTGTTTTATAGAATTATACAGCCTGGAAACAGACCCTTTGGCACAGCACTAACCAGATATCCAAATCTGATCTAGCCCTATTTGCCGTCTTTTGGCCCATATCCCTCTCAACCCTTTCTATACCTATCCAGAAGCCTTTTAAATGTTGTAATTGTACCAGACTCTACCACTTCCTCTGGCAGCTCATACCATACACGTACCACCCTCTGTGTGAAAAAGTTGCCCCTTAGGTCCCTTTTAAATGTTTCCCCTCTGACAAATTTCTCCTTCCATTTAAATCACTGACCTCTTATTTTTAAATAGTATCTCCTAGTTCTGGAAAGTAATTAGGTCACATGGAGTGGAAAACTATATTTTATCCATTTAAATCATCATAATTTCAACTTTCTACTCATGATTCAAAGTTTAATTTCTTTCTTCGAAGCTGAACAACTGGGATTGATCGCAGTGTCAGTTACTGAACTCATTTTTATCCTTTCAAAGTGATGAAACACCTTTGCCTTACTCTGTCTTCAATGACTGCTATAATCTAATGACAAAGTTAAAGCCATCTAATACCAGTCCCTGATTTACCCTCTTAATTATTCTGAAATACTACGTATAGTTTGGGTCCTCTGTCTTAAACAGGGACGCACATGCATTGAAGACAATTCAGGTAAGGTTCATTAGGCTAATTCCTGGAGTGAAGGGCTGGCCTTGCACAGAAAGATTGAGCAGGTTGACCCTAAACTCATTGGAGTTTAGAAACAAAAAGCACCATTTGCATCTGTTTAGGTACTGGAGCAGTCTCTTACCCAGCCAGCTCGAGAAGCTCAGTGTTATCCAGGACAAAGCAGCCTTCTTGATTAGCAGCCCTGTCACCACGTTCGACATTCACTCCCTTCATCACCAACACGCAGTAGCAAAAGTGCGAACTATGTACAAGATGCACTGCAGCAACTCACCAACAGCACCTTCCAAGCCTGGAACCCCTGCCTCAAAGGATAAGAGAGCTGGTGCTGGGTCAGTAAATATATTGAAGGCACAGTTAGATCAATTTTAGATCGACAAGGAAATTGAAGGTTGCGAGGAATGTGCAGGAAGTGAATACAAAGCCCTAATCTGATAAGCCACCATTTTATTGATTGGCAGAGCATGCTTAAAGGGCTGAATGGCCTACTCCTCTTTCTTATTCTCTAAAGGTTCAGCATTTGATTTACTTTTGAGATAATTAAGCATCATTGCAGATCATCCTGAAATCGATGTCAGCTGCTTAATCTGCTCATCCTTGACTTTGGGAACGACCTCACCTTCAATTGGTACATGTCTGTGTGCTCCAGGAATAGCTTTGTACTAATAATCATGCTCTAAAAAGCCATCAGCAAAAAGCACAGATGAGGTGTGTAGTCAGCTAATCTTCATCGGAGACAAATTAGGTCAACGAGTCCTTGCAAGCAGTGCTAAAAATAAGAGTGTCAAAGGTTACTGTCCAGCTCTGATAGCTGTCAGTGTTAATATTAGCACGGAATCTGATTCTTTCCTCTCCTCATCCAGCCCCAAACCTGTCTCAGTTCAGGGCTGTGTTTCTCTCTCAGCTGCTTACTCCGATCAGAATTAAATGACAGATGACTGCATGCCAGCCATTAGTTCATTGGTTTACATGAATATTTAATATATCCTGGTGGGATGTTGCAAGTACTCTGCTTTCCGAAGGACTGTTTGGCTGCAGCTCGGCCTGACCATGGAGTTTCATTTTTATTGTTGTCTTTCCTCCTCGTCCTGCCCTGAAAGACATAGATAATTCTGTAGGTTCTGACATGTATCCTTGTGCAAGTTTGTTCGATGCATACGGCAGGCTTTTGAACTGTATAGGCCATCACAGCAGAGATGGAACCAGTCCTCACCTGTCGTGTGCCCATTTATTTTCAGCAAACGGGTTGGGATTATGAGTGGGACCTTTGATTAAGCACCTCCCTGCCTTGGGAACATGCTTCTCTTGTTTCACTCCTACATAGACTCCATACCTGATCCCATCCCATGTCCCTACCTCTTCGTGCAGCTCTGTCAGAAAAAGCTAATCTGACAAAGCCTTCACTCTAAAAATACTTATTTTCCTATATTCGTTCTGGTTGACCAGAAACATCTTGTAAAGTTGAACGTTAATACATATTGTCACACTATCTTGGTCATCTCTGCTGTACTATATTGTATTAGTGAAGTGTCTGACCCATTGGTTTACAGAGCACATGCTGAGCTGCAACTATGCAGGTTCTCGACATTGTCATTTGTCTGGCTAAATCAGCTACTACAGGCAGAGAAAGAATTGATGCATTACGGGTAGCGTAAAAGCTTTTCAGTCGGAAGAAAGAGACTTTAGTTAGGGTTCCCAATCTATGCCTGTATCCAGTTTATTTATATGAGTGTGTGTCCATGTGTACATATTCTGTGCAATCCTGTGAAGCAGTTTTTGTGTTTATACCCATGTGATGTTGGTCATGTGTGGTGATTCCATACATGTTTGTCTGGCTGAATGTGTATGTGCAGTGATACTGTCCACATATTGTGCATAATACCTAATGGTTACTAAGCCTTCTACAACCTAACCAATTCTGTTCATGTGTCA